TGCCATCAAAGAGATTGTGTCGAGGAATCCAAACGCAAACATAATTCACATTAAACTCGATTTGTCTTCTCTTCAGTCGATTCGGGCATTCGTTCAACAAATCTATGAAAACGAGACGACAATTGATTTACTTATAAATAACGCCGCAATCGGTGCCAACACTGAGAGACAAACAGAGGATGGCTTTGAGTTGTCTGTCGGGACGAACCACTTGGGAGTGGAATGACATGAATTTATAAATATATAATTTCTAATACTAAACAATATTCTTTAGGACACAATCTCTTAACACTACAATTGCTGTCATTACTGCAAAAAGCACCGAAATCCCGGGTCGTAACCGTGTCGTCCCGTGTCTATGCGTCGGGAAGAATACATTTCGAGAATATACACCTACGTAACGGTGCTTTTGAAATGTTGGCAGCCTACTCGCAGAGCAAGTTGGCTAACATATTATTTACCCGCGAGTTGGCTAAGCGTTTGGGTGCCGACACCACAATCAATGCGTATTCACTACATCCCGGAGCTGTGAACACGGAATAGTACCGACATATCGAGTCCTCTGTTGTCAGGTTTATCGCAAAAACATTTACCAAAATGGTTGGCATATCTGTCGAGAGCGGCACTCAGACCACCCTTTACTGCGCTCTCGAGAAATCATTGGACAGCGAATCCGGATTTTATTATGAGTTTGTTTTTTAAGTGATTTTCAAATATATATCTGAGAAAATAATGCCAATAGTGTATCAGAAAAAAGTTTTAATCTTAATCGTTCATAGAAGTAATATTGAAAGATTAAGATTAAAGCTTTTTTCAGATAAACTTTTGGATTCTTCTCAGATATATTAATTTATTTATTTATCAGATAGATAGATTTATTAATAATTTGTTTTCACAGCAATTGTTTACGAGTGGATAACATGTATGCGAACGCGACGGACAATAAAAGTGCGAAACTGTTGTGGGAATTGAGCGCAGATTTGGTTAAATTGGAGGATAAATATAAATTGTGAACATTTTTTAAAATCATTTTTCTAAATCTAAAAATTGTAATTGTATTTTTAAGCACTTTTTATTAACATTTAACAAACCTTTTTACAATAGAGGAACCTGCTATCTTCACAATACAAGACTTCTTTTACATGAAATATAACTTTATTGTTAGTGTTACGACGCTGTCGTACTTATTAAGAATATTCTTATTATTCTTATTATTAAATATTATTATTATATTCTCAAACACTGTATGTCTC